GGGGTTAGTACATCAAACGGTCTAGAATAAACTTCTGACCTACTATCCAATTCAACAGTTTGGTGCTCTCAATCACATGATTGAAGTTGTGCTTGACGTGCATGTACAAGTGTGCCACAACTGTGTTGGGATAAATAATTCCAGCTCTTCGGAGCCCTCCCCCTCCCCCTCCCCTCTCCTTTACACCCTTACCCTTTCAGGAGCCTCACCTTGCCGCCAGTTACCCAGTTTTCATTCTTTCACCGTCTATCTATCTTTCTCTCTTTCTTTTTTTCTCATTCACTCTCTCTCTCTCTCTCTCTCTCTCTCTCTCTCTCTCTCTCTTTCTTTTGTTCTCTTTCTCTTCCTATCTCTCTCTCTTGTTCTCTTTCTCTCTCTCTTGTTCTCTTTCTCTCCCTCTCTCTCTCTCTCTCTCTCTCTCTCTCTCTCTCTCTCTCTCTCTCCTTTTTTTTTGGGTCCCCACCTCACCATCTCTACCATAATAATACCTCTGATCACTTCCTGTAAAACTCTTCATAAAACCAAACTTCAATAACAAACAACTTCGCCACTTGTGGGAGTGACGCCCGAAAATTCCCACCGACACCCGAGAACAAAGGGCGAGGGCATTTAAAACAGAAATCCGAGAACGACGCCCCGGAATCGAAATTGGGCCTTTTGCCCATAACAGCGAAGAGCGTAACACGTCCACCACATAATAGTATTGGCTCCTCCCCCCCCCCCCCCCCCCCCCCCCCCCCCCCGGGTCAACCCTACAACTCACTCTCGTAACAGGTCTCGGTATATGAGACTGGCCTCACACTAGGGCTGGGCAATGAGTCGCTTTAGCAAAATCCGAAAAATAATGTTATATATGCACCTCTTCGGTGAATGTGTCATGAACCGCTTCGGCAGATGGGTTAGAACTACTTCGGAAAAACGGTTTAGAGCTACTTCAACTAAATTATGGTTGAACTCACTTCGGCAAACGGATATTTGGAAAGAGAGTGAAAGAGTCTGAATTCGAATAATTTCACATTGAGAATTATCCGGTTATCCGGATATGTAACCGGTTTCTGCCCACCACTACCTCACAGTTCACACCCTTTAACACCGCAGCACGTCACTTCCACCAGCACACACAGAGACAAACGGGCGAGGGCGTAAACAGAAACCCGAGAGCTCACCGGCCCGGCCCGTCATACTCAAAACATTGCGCCGGATTTGATCACAAGACCCGCAGGCAACTCCCAGCATTGCCCAGGGTGTCCGATTCCGATTTGAGAGCCGCTTTTTGCGAGGCCCCCGTCACATGGCGGATAAACTTTGCTCACCACCGCGAGGAAACGGAATACTTTCTCACAGACTTCGCTTCCGCGTTCCTGTTTCTTCCAGGGGTGTGAGTTTCATTCTTTCGTTTCTCAAGACAACGGCCAACTTTGACACGGGAATTCAGAATCATATTCTTCTTCTGTAAGACATGACGTTGCATTTATCGTGTATATTTATTTTGGCAACGGTTTTACAGCATTTGCAACACAAAAAGGCGATATAACAGCTTTCGATCAGAGATATAAAAGCATAACATGCAAAGATAAAAAGGATCAGATTTAGTTGTTGTAAGAGTTTTACGGCACTCGCAATACAAACAGGACAGTCGTATTGGTACCGAAGAGTAGAGGGGTTACTAGAGAGTAACATACACAGAAAAGGAGGAGAGAAGTTTTAAAGGACACTAGATGTTGGACAGGGGGCAAAATGGAGCAAACCATTAATGAACACCCGCCAACCACCCGCCACAACTAAATGTGACTGCGGGTGGGAAGTGAAAACAGACGAAGTTTACAAACGAGGGTGGCAATGATGTGCAAGCAAACATCCAAACTGAAAAGTAAAGATCGATAAAAATCATCGAATACTCGATCAATTGATGTCAAAGCAAATATTCAAAATGGAAAGACCGACAGAAATCATCAAATGCTCCAACAATCGAAGTGTAAGCAAACACTCAAATTGAAGAGATCGACAAAAAACCACCGCACACTCGAACAAAAGAGGTATAATATTACCCGTACTCGAACATTCGAAGTAAAAGTCAATACCTAATACTCGAACAATCGAAAAGGTGTAAGCAAACAACCAAAAGGCAGAAACCCCTGGTCTCTCTCAGCCACAGTTCCAAAGTCAAGTGGTGCCCGTGTTTTATTGATGGGTCTCCCCATACAACTGACAGATGGCTGACCTCTAGGGGTCACGAGTAGGCTCCCCTACTCCGTGACGCGCCCTCCACCACGACACTTGACGAGCCGGGTGCCCCTTCTGGAGAGGGCTTTGCTTAGAGATAGACGAGGGGCAGAAATATTTCCTCATGATAATAATGATATACTTGATGGTCTCAGATCCCGTATACAGGCCAGTTTCAGGGGAACTTAGCTTTGGTGAATAATATGGTTATGCATATTATAGTGATCAGCTGAATATTCCGAAATACTCGCGCATACGAGAACGCTGAGGTAGCTTTTTTTTCTGTTGGTCAACACAGTCTTTAGAAAAATGTGTTCGATCAGTCACGTTTGAAGAGTTGGTTTTCCTCAAAGTAAGTGCTGTTTGGATAGGTGGAAAAGTGCATGTACAGAGTGGAGACTCTTTATCTCTCAAAACCTCTTTATCTGTCTGTCTGTCTGTCAGTCTGTTTTTCTCTTTATATCTCTCTCTATCTCTTCCCCCTCCCCCCTTGCCTGTCTGTCGGTCTGTCTGTCTCTCTCCTCTCTCAATCTACCTTTGCCGGTCTGTCTGCCATGTAACTCCCAGTATCCTCGCCCAACCAAATAAATACC